ACATTTGATCTGCACTTCTTTATAATTAAAGTTTAATAAAAGTAAAGCTATTTGAGATAATGAAGACAAAAATAGACTGATAAATAAATATTTCATATTAGAACCCTTATATTAACATTTATATAATGATATTATTATTTTAAAAATATATTATATTTCATTGTGTTTAAAATTGTTTGTTTTGGACGGATGTTAAATTTTATTAATTTGATTATTTTTATTTAGCTAGATTAATAATAACATCTGCTTCATCATTTTATTCCATAGCTTTTAAAGAAGCAGCTTGAAAATAGTTCATATTATTATACCTTTTTTTTAAATATACTCTTAATCAGGTAGTAATTTGATAGCTAGATCATAAGATTACACTGCTTCTGGATATTTATGAAGATTATGTAGTGCCTCTCCTAGAAACATATTAAGTAATAACCTCTTAATGTATAAACTTAGTGTTATTTGTCATCAATTAAGATAACCTTCTCAAAACATTCTATTGCTTCTTTGTAAGCTTCCATTCTAAGTAATCCCAAACCTAGAAATAATTGAGAGTTCACCTTTATTTAAATGAGCATCTGATGAATTAGGATTGAGTAGAATTGCAGCATCAGAAGTTTCAATAGCTTCTTAATAGTTTTTTAATTAATTTAAACAATGAGCTAATAATATTTTATGTATTGATTACCTTTTAAGACTAAGGCTGTTTAATTTTTTGGATTAATATTAAATGTTATGTTAAAGTTATCTATTGCTTATTGATATTTTTCTAATTTTTCTAAGGTGATACCTTAAATATGATTAATAAATTAAAATACCTGAAAATTAATACGCTTCTTCATGTTCTGAATCTATCTCTAATGATCTTTCAAAACGTTTGAGAGCTTCTTCATATTGTTTCATAACAAATAATGTCTTTCCTTTGAAATAATAAATATATATTTAAACCTTTATAGTAATGACCAGCAAAGTCATCTGGTAATAGTTCAATTGCTATATCATAAAACTCAATAGCTTCTTTGTATCTATTTAATAAATGTAAAGTTATTCCTTTCAAATAAAAATCATCATACCTTTTATGGCTAAAATCTTCGTTTATTCAGGATCTGCCTCAATTATTAAATCACAGATCTCTAGAGTTTCCTAATATTTCTGTAGTGCCAATAAAAGTTTGCCTGGATATTATTATAATAATTACATTTTTCAAAATATAGAGAACTATTATAGGGATATTTTTCAATAGCATTATTACAAATATCTAGTGCCTCTTTATATTTTCCTTGCTCTTTTAATTTCTAGCCTAAATTATTAAATAATAATATTTACTTTGTTTGATAACATAAACAGGTAATATTTCATTTTCATAATATTTGACTTATTCAGGATCTAGATCTATTTTAAAAGGAGGTTAATTTTTATATCTTAAAGATAGATGATAAAATATTTACTATGGATCATTTTATGCTTCTTATTAAATGAAAAATTCAAGAATTTATTTCATTGAAGATAATTATCCATTATTAATTTAATTGAGTAGTTATTATAGATCAACTACTTAAGATCCTTGTGGTCTAAGTTATTATTACAATTAATGGGGTAATCCTTGAGGAATTTATCCAATGAGACGGGGTTGATTTCTAGAAACTTAAGACATAAGATTTTGTAAATTAGGTGGTAAATTTGGTATTTAACTTGAACCTGATTTTCCGAAAGGTGGAATTGACCATTTATGAAGATGAACTTTAAGGAAGATACTATAATGATATTGAACTCTGAGATATTTATGAACCTGGTGGTATATTCTATGTTTTTGGAATTTATGGTATTGAAGATACTGGATGAGGTGGTTTATGTATTTACTAATTATTATATATTTATTTACTGAATATCCTTATCCTGGACCTACTCCTGGCCTTCGATGGATTATTTACCTTGCTAGAATAAATACTTCTTTCTCTTCTATTATCTCTATTTCATCATCTACATTTTTTTTTATTCATATTTCTATTATTATACTTCTTTGTTTACATAAATTTCTTCATCTATTTTTATTTATATTTACAATAATTACCTTTCTTTTACGCTTTTATAAAAGCCTCTTTATCTTAAATAGTCTAAGTTTCCTTTTATATCTGATTTGTATTTTTTTTTTCAGATTATGCAGATGTTATGCTATTACCCAATACTTAATTATTATTACATTATTTACATTTCATTTATTCCTAAATTTTAGTAAATCCTAACGTGAACAATTTTAATGTTGATAGTCCTATATCCAATTATTCTAATATCATTTCTAAATAATAACAATCCAATTTACTTTATTAATTTGTTTGTAAATACTAACTATATTGTTTAAAAAAAGTAATATTATCTAAGCATTTCTTGTACTCATTATCCTTTAGGTCTTTCTCTAAAATCTTTAATCTTTCACTATAACAATATTTATTCTTAGTAATTTGTTCACATAATTTTTGTATCTACTTTATTTTATCAAACAGTTCAATCTTTTGTTATTCTTCAAGTTCTTTGTTACTTGCAAATACTTTTTATATCTATTTAAAGGTTTTGCAATCCTCCTAATGATCAGCATGTTTATCCCAACAACATTTTAAACAAAATTGCAAATTTTATTTGCAATTCTAATTTAAGCAGAAACCAAGTATCTCGTCTTCATCATGACCATCATACTAACATAAGAACTCTGAACTGTCTTACATTTATATTAATTACTTAACAAGATTAAATCTAATTTTTTTGTTTTTATACTTAAAAAATTAATACTATTCCATTTCTATTACGTTAGATTTTTTAATATCTTAAAGCAATAGGATCAAATTTTTTTCCTCTAGTTTATATTTCTTTTATTTGCTTAACAAATGATATTTGACTGATGATAATTTTTGGTATATAAATTTAATTATTTCAATTTTTACTAATTACGAAATTCAATTACACTTAGAAATCTTTTTTTTTTGAATAATTATACAATCCATTTGTTAATAAAAGACATTGATAAACCTCAAGTATTTATATAAATTAAGTATTTTTGTAAAAATAAATAAATAAATTTAAATACATATTATAATAGAATTTGATATATATAATATATATTTAATTAATATATAATTTATGTAATCAATGAATATTTATACAAAATTCCTATATTTAATAAATGTTTAAATAAGCTAAGTATTAAATAAAGATTTGTAGAATATCT